AACTTCCGAATATAGGCAAGTTCAATTTACTCTTATATTTAAATCAACTCAGCTCTCATCTTCTGATAAAAGTAAAACCAAAAAAGAAAAATAGAGTCAGCTTTGGTTCGCGAATCTGAGTTCATGCGAATCCAATCTCTCCGTTGAGCTCATGTAAGAGTTCTTTTCACCTTTTATCTGATTTTTCTAGGTTTTAGTTAAGTGTCGTCTTCCGTTTTCGCTGATTTGTCTTGTTGTCTTTATCGATCCTCTTGTCTCCGCTTCTTGCTCTAATCGCCATTCTTATGTTATAGATATCTTTCTTTGTGTCTAATTTTAGGCTTTAAAGTAAAGTGTTTCTTGAAATTGGATTCAAGATTGTGAGTTTCGGGATTACGATGAACGAAAAGGGACATTACGTGCCACCGACTTACATTCCATTAAGACAGTCAGATTCTGATGCTGATGCAGAAGTAACCACCACTCCAAATCTGGAAGTTGCTGTTTCTGAAAGCACAAGAGATGGTCCTATGCAGTGGTCGTCTGGTATATGCGCTTGCTTCGACGATATGCAGAGCTGTATGCTACTCTCTGTCCTCCAAACCTTGATTTTACTACAAGAATCAAATTTTTTAAAGGTGCCTCTTTGAAATGACCTGTGAAGTATGTATGTTAGGCTGAGATTAGTTTGTTTCTGGGGTAATACTTTTATGTTAAGAGGCTTTTTGGTATAGAAACATAAGCAAGTGACAATTCTTGAATAGGTTGGGGAAGAAATTAGATTTAAGCTTTGGTGCAAAAAACTTTGCCACAGTTTTATTTGCTTGTTTTCAGCTTCTTTAATCTTTATGCTACTTCTCTTGGATCCAAGTATGTTATGTTGTTTATGGTGACAATCATTTATTTAGACAATGGTTTGAGAAAACATGGCAACTTACTGTGGTTTTGTTTCGGATGCACAGGTTTTATAGGTTTGTTCTGTCCATGTTATATCTTTGGCAAAAATGCAGAGTTGTTGGGGTCTGGAACATTTGCTGGACCCTGCATAACCCATTGCATTTCATGGGCTTTGGTCAACACCATTTGCTGCTTTGCAACTAATGGCGTGTTGCTCGGTCTACCGGGATGCTTTGTGTCATGTTATGCTTGTGGGTACCGCAGATCATTGAGAGACAAGTACAATTTGCAGGTAGAAAGTGGGATCAAATGGCAACATGTGTGAATATCATATTGTTGTTTCTAACCGGCAACTTATATGTAACATTCTTTGATGCAGGAGGCTCCATGTGCGGATTTTGTAACACACTTCTGCTGTCACTTGTGTGCCATTTGCCAAGAGTACAGAGAGATCCGAGAACGTAGCAGCGGCTCAAATCATCCTGACATGAAGATGGCTGTTACTAAAGCGCCCTCGGCTCAAACCATGGAAGCAGCTAATTGATCACAATTTTCTCTGTTGAGTTTTCAGTTTCTTTTGTAGAAGACAATCTTCTTGTCATCGACTTTTGCAATGTATTTGAGAAGGTTAATGAGAAAGTATAACTTTCTAAGTTATATAAGTTTATC